GACGGGGGGGGGGGGGGGGGGGGGTGTACTCATAGTCGTGCATGCCGTAGTCGTTAGACCATTGACCTCGCATCCCTACAAAGCCGGGACGGAGCACGCCGGGTTCTCACCGGACCAGGCTCTCACATCACCAAGCGCGAAGCGCCGTGAGATATTTGGCGAGTCGCACGAAGGGTGAGCTGCATCCTGCTAAGGGTGTTCGGCATCTTGTGCTTACTTCCTTGCGTACGGATGACAGCTGCGTATGACTTAATTTATTTTCTGGTGCTTTCACTTCCAGAGACAGTTGTAAGCACTGTGTAACTGCCTCGAGGATGCTTGACCATTTTAACACAACGTGGTGCGATCATCCCCCGTTGCGCGGAGTGAGGGTTCTCCACCCCGCACAACATGATCTACTCGACCACCATTATGGTTACCGCCAAAAATCAAACGAGGTAAAAAAAAAAACGGTAACCTGGTTGCCGAGTTCACGAAGTGAATTGGATTGTTTAAAAAGGTGGGGGCAAAGGGAGGAAAAAAAAATCAGGAGGGAAAAAAAGGAGGGGAGGGTTTGAGGGGGGGGGGGGGGGCGTACTCTCATGTATTGCATGCCCTAGCGGTTAGACCGTTGACCACGCGTCCTCGAGAAGACGGAGCATTGTTCCCACAGCACCGATCACCGATGGCCAATCGTTCCTTCCTACTTTGCTGCTGCTATTGGTCGGTGTTAATTGTTGCTACGGTGCAGGGTCGAGGATGCTCGCAGCGCGATCGTGTTTTCGGCGTTTAGCCGGCGACGCTTCTGCGAGGAAGAGGATTGTTTGCAGGTGACAACACGCACACACACACACAATAGAGGAAGGCATGTGGAGCACGTAGAGTCCCTCTTGCCCGCTTGTTGATTGGCTGTCGCCATGGGTTTGCCTGATCTCCTCTAGTTCTCTAGTCTCTTCGCCGAGATGTATCTTGTGGTGTTGCCGAGATGTATGTTGTGGTATGCATACAAAAACGGCGATTGCCGTGGGTTTGGCGGGTGACGACTTACGCTTTCTGGTGCCAAAGTTGGCGGCTGCTTGATAAATTGTAGTCCTCCTGCGTAGTGTATTCGTTGGAATTTCGTTTTTTGTGTATGGAGTGGTGGTTGCGATGGGGAAGCTGTACTACGACTACTGTAGCGGTGCAATCGGTTTGCTGGCTTAAGTCCGAACGTTCTACGTATGTAGCTCTAAAGTGCCTCCTCTCGTGTACTCGAAAGCGATCCTTCGTTTCAAGAGCATGTTTCATGCCCTCCCCCCCCCCCCCCCCCACTTCTCATCTCTCCTGTCGCGCCGCTGCCCTCCGTGTTTCCTTTCTGTCCTTTGTGCTTCCGTCGTGTGCCTCTCTCTGATGCGCATGCGGTACTGCTGTACACCGAAAACATCGTTTCTGTCTTGTCGACTATTCCCGGGAAACGAACGAACGGCTGGACCAACAACAGTACGCGAATGACGTTCCCGAAACGATCGCGGACCTGAAGCCGTGTCTGGAGACCAACACGTGCGGGAGGTTCGACGCGGCGAATCAGTCGGGGCAGGGCACGGCGTACGTCTACTACTGGCGAAGCATGCTGCGGCAGCCGAACCAGCGAACTATGGAGCACATCTTGTGTTTCAAGTCACACAGGTGAGATGGGGCGGTGATGAATGCACGTTCATTGTTTTCTTGTGGTGCAGTCACTCTTTACTGCTGTTTTTTTTTTTTTTTTCTTTGTCCTGTTTTCGTTTTGTTTGATGAGGGTGTTTGTTCGAGAGAGGGAACGGGTGAAAATGAAGGCCAGCCATGAATGACTTGGCACCTACGCCTTGTAGTCACTGGGAGGACGGCATGTCGTTCCGGGACGTTTTTTTTTTTTTTGTGTGTGTACTCACACGCGCGCCCGACCCCATTTTCACCCCAGTTGCCAAAAAAAGTGTCTCTTTGCGGACTGCGGACCGTAGCCCCTCGTTAGTCAGCGCGGGGGGGGGGGGGGTTCGGAAATGCTCGTGTGGCAACAAGTGTTTCCGAACAGATGTGTCGGTTATGTTGAACGCACGCAGCCCGTGGGTCGCCTCCCCTCGTTTCAATACTACATGTCGCTGTCGCGAATGGAGAACGTTAGCCATACCCGTGCTCGTCTTGTCAACACAAAAAACGGTCCACGTCATTCGACAACCACCCTCATGTCCAACTGTGATTGGCTTATTTTTGCCAGGTTCGAGCCATACCTCGTGGTGCGAAAGACGGCCTTGCTGCCCAAGTTTGACGAGAGATTCTTGGGGTACGGCAAGAACAAGATCCAATGGTGAGACAGTGACAGAGACAGGGAGACAGACAGACACCAAGAGAGAGAGACAGAGACAGAGACAGAGACAGAGACAGAGACAGAGACAGAGACAGAGACAGACAGACAGACAGACAGAGACACACAGAGACAGAGACAGAGACAGACAGGGAGACAGGGAGACACCGAGAGAGAGAGAGAGAGAGAGAGAGAGAGGTTGTTCCCCCGCATTTTTGTTTCCTTTGATAACATAACACCTGTTCTTGCGTACCACCACGCTGGAGGGGAGGAAACCCTGAAACCCTAACCCTTTCTTCTCGCGCCAGTGGAGATGGAAGGCGTGCACCAACGATAGTATTTTTCTGCCTGACCCTCTGATCTTTTGTACAAGTAAATAGGCAAAAGACGAGCCGTATGGCACGTAGGGAAAGCTGGTGCAGGCGAAGGTTCATGAAATGGGCGAAAAGAGGTTCTTCGTATCAACTTTTTTTCTTCTTTGTTTTGTGGTGAAGGCTTGTGGCAGGGAGGGCGCTTGTATGGGCGTCTTTCCTTTTGACTCGTTGTCCCGTCGGTCCTCGGGTGTCCTGTTTGCGAGTCGGTCTAATCGTCGGCACACACACACACACCCAGTCCCCGTCTTGTCCACCCTGGCAATCTCAACCCCAGCACACAAGCGCCCGCCGTGCCTTGCCTACCAATAAACCCCCCACCCTGAAACTCTGCCTGATTTGCTGCTTCCTCGTATGCATGTTACGGCGATTTGTACTTGGTTTTTTTTTTTTCCTTTTCTTCCAGGATCAACCATCTGCGATACAGCGGGTTCTCGTTTTATGTGATGCCGGTCAATTTCGTAATCCACGCACCGCATCCCAAGTCTGTCGCGAAGACTTCGTGGGAAAAGACCGGGGGCGGCAAGCAGGTGAGTGTGCGTGTGCATTGAAATTGCGTCGACCGCGCCAACCGGCTGAACAATGAAAAGACAAGGCGTCAAGTTTTGTAGCGGGATAGAAAGCGCCACCACAGTGGTTCCTATTCAAAGGGTTCGTGTGTGTAATGGCTGTTGACGAATCAAACAAGGGACCCCGTTTGGATGATGATACGTTGGGGAGGAGGCGTGTCTGGGCAGGGGTGGTAAGCGAGTTCATACAACAATTGCGGGGTGGGGTGTGCAAAGAAACGGCGAGGGAAACTTTGCGTGTGGGCGCGTACTCGTGTGCTGTGTGCGCGCCCCTGTGTGCGCCCCTCCTGGTAGTTAGCATCGTCAGGCTCGCGTGATCCGTGGACAAATGTGCATGAGCGTGTGTGTTCGTCTTTGCGTTGCTCGCGTCGACGGCGCTGTAACCGGCTGGCCAATGAGAAGACGCCGGTCATACGTGCCGCTAAGAACGGAAAACGCCTCCGGCGTGTGATATTGTGTCTTTGGTTGGCATCGACCGCGGTAACTGGCTCATGTTTGGGGTGATGTCAGTGTGTCTGGTTGCGGTAGTCGAGACCATGCACATTGCGGAATCGTCGCCGCGGTTTAGGGGCGTGTACGGCTGTAGGACCTCTCTCTCTAGGCCCTCACGGGGTACTGCTTGTCATGCGTGATGATACTAACGTCTTTTTTTCGGTCGGCCGAACAACGCCACCGATTTTTTCGATTTTTGCTGAAAACACGCACACGCGCGCTCGTGCGCTTTTGCCGTCCGCGTGTCACGGTCGAGGCCATGGCGGTTTTGGAAAAACACACACACACACACACACACACACACACACACACACAAACCGACACCGGTATTGCTTCTGTCTTTCAAGGGGTGCACGCGGTAAGGACGAATTGTCTCAGTGCACATGGCAACAAACGAAATGCCCCCCCTTCCGCCCCCGGCCGCGCGTTTTTTTTTCAACTCCTCAAAAGGGCAAGGGCAACAAGCTCATGGACCAGACGTTTGAGACGTTCATGGACGAGCTGCGAGCAGAGAAGGGGCCAGAGGAGGACACTATCACCAGCCTTTGCCAAAAAGACCGGCCACGTACGGGGGTGAGTGGGGCGCGGCACAGCCGCCGGGGGATGTGGATCTAAACCGCTTCCAAATGCTGGAGATGTGGGGGCTGTTGTGGATTCAAGCGCTGCAATTGATGTTGTGTGTTTGTGTTGTGGATTTGCCTGCATTCATCGACAAGAGTTTGGATTGCCAAGCATGTAGGTCGTCCGATGTGCGCATCAATTTCTCCCCCTCCGTCTGTCCGTGCCTTATTTATTTTTTATATGCGTGGAGCGTGGTGCTACGTGGTTTGTGGTGTGTCATACGTGGCGCAATCCCATCCCCCCCCCCCCGCCTTCACTAGCCCATCCTTTTTATGCCCGTTTCACCACACGCACACACGCTAGCATTTTGTGTTTTCAACCTCACTGAGACTGGCGTCTTTTCATTGGTGAGCCGGTTAGCGCGGTCGATGCTAGTAGCAATAACACCACACACGCTTGATGCAATTTTTGCTTTGCGTACACCTCCTGACCCTGCACCGCCTGTTGACCTCACCCGTGCCGGAACATATGTTTATCCGTCCGTTCCGCAGCAGAAGAAGATATCCCAGTTCAGAAAGCGCGGGGACTCTCCAAAGCTTTGAAGGTCGTCGAGCAAGTCACGAGTGGAAAGTGGAAAGGCTGTAGTGCTTCCCCCCCCAGACCCGGCAGGCGGGTGGGGCGAGAGAAGGGGGGAGGGGCATGAAAACGGCGTGATATTGTTAATTTTTTTTTGCGAGGATAAGCGTGCTCTTGGGCGGGGGCGGTAGTCCGACCAAGAAAATGTCGTTGTATGTGTTCAAAACTCGCCACAGATCCTGTTGTTGCTAGCTAGATCCCATACCTAGCTAACTGAGGCAAGGGAAGGATCATCGAAGTAGATCGGGGCCGAGAATTTGAGCGACGTGGCGGGTGGTTGCTGCGCGCTCGGCGTCTTGTCAGCCGGGAAGATGAAGTAGGTTGGGCCGGCGTTTTTTTAGAGTACTTGTCGCTCCGGGCCATAGCGAGACGGGAGCGCGGGGCGGAGACTCGAGCAAAAAAGGGGGGCTGCTTGCTGCCTGCTGCTCGGTGTAGCACGCACACGCGTCGTGGCTGTTTTTGTGGTCTTGCTTTGTTTCGTTCGCGTTCTCTCTCTCGCTCTCTCTCGCTCTCTCTCGCTCTCTCTATCTCTGGCACGGTTGGTTCTTGTTCTATGTTCCGTGTACTGCTGTTGCGCGTTTGTGTGTGTGTTTTTTTTTGTTCTCTATTCTTCTCTGTCCCGTTCCGACCTGCAAGGTCTTTGGTCTAGTAGTGTGATATAAAGGTTTTCAGTCGTTTGCAAGGCTAAAGGGTTTCGTGTGGTGTTCTGGTATTTGTGCCGAACTTGTAAGGGACTGTTAGACCTTTAGCCACGCATCCCTTCGAGAACAAGCGCAGTTTGGGGTGGGTGGGGGGGTTGGGGGTATCAAATCGTTTAGATAGTCTTAGGCTTTAGGATATTAGATACTCCGTCCGATGATAATGTGCTGTGATATGAAGCGTTTTCTCGTATTTCGGTGGGACGCATGGCTTGTCTTTGCTCGAACTGGCCGGTCGACCGGAACTCTTTCTGCAGGGCGGCGAGGTATCGTTTCGTGTTCATCATGACATGGTGTGAAACGTCTTCTCGCGCTGATGTCTGCTCGCGGGTGGTGGTGTTTGCGTATTTCATGTGTAATCTTGCCCCTGTGCCTCGTTTTTAGTTTAGTTATACTCCTTTAGGCGGACGGCCGTCGTCTTGAGCAGACAAGAAGTGGTGGTGGTGGTGGGTGCAGGAGGAGGAGGGATCGTATTTTCGGCCGAAGAGTGAGATGTACCGCCTTTGACGGGGAGTCGCTCCGGGGGGGAATCGCACTTTCCAGCGGTGCTTGTGAGTGCGTGATGACTGGAGCAAATTCAGTTACCTGCGAGAACGGGAGGGAAGCGTGACTCCTCTTGTCGCTGCTCTTTGGTCGAGTTGGATTCATTGACCTGCTGCTGTAGTAGATTTGCCGCCTCAAGTCAATGCCCGCCTTGCGTGCCCGCACGAAACGAAACAAAACAACGAGAGCGAGCCTCGATCCCCAGCAACTCGGCCGGACGTTGTGTGCATGTGTGTGTGTGTGTGCAAAGGTCCCATCTGTTGCGGGCGGGCTTTGATATCTGTTGGCTGTGTTTCGTTTGCACGGTTGTGTTGCATGTGTGCGCGCTTGGGTCGTTGCGTGCGTGTGTAGGTGAGACGTTTAAAACCGAGGAGATTTGGAAAACACACAAGACAAGATGTACAGCAGCAGGGAGTGTTCTCTCGCCCCCGCGCGTTGACATCGGAGCGAGCTTTTGACTCTTGGGCTGGAGTGCGGCAGTACATACAGGCTTCCACTCGATCGAGCCCTGCGGAGTGATTCGCCGGCTCGTGGACCCGCACGCAAGAAGCGTGTTCGCGCTATTTTCATCCGGCTACATGGCCGAGGCCATTTCATTGGTTCAGACGATTAATCGCGCGGTCGATCCTGACTCAAGAACAATTACACACGGAGCTGGGACGGAGCAGAACACGAGGTATTAGGTGCGTCATGCTGAAAAGAGCTCAACAGTCCCGTTCCCTGCCCGTTTATCTGTGCGCCATGGGCACGGCCTACACTACACACTCCTCCTTCGTTTGGGACGGGATTGGAACAAGCGTGTAGGCGACGGATCCAACAATGAAACCGGAGCCACCCGTGCTTGGTTGTTGCCTCGAGGTGTGAGAGCGGAAAGCACGCGAGAATGAATCCAAGGGCCGTTCGAGAATCCGTGCGTCGGAGGGGGTTTACCAACAAAGCGATGGGAAATAACTGGCACCTTTCCCGTCTGCTTTGAAATAAACAAAAATAGAACCAACCTCACACACGGCAGGTAAAAAAAATTGAGTAGCACTCTCTTGGCTGTGGCGCTGTGGCTATGTTGTCGTTACAATGCCGGTGGCCGTGTTTCGGATTGGCTGAAATGGAAAGGAAATTTTTCGTGTCGAGCGTTTGAAAAGCTTTGCGAGGGAGTGGTGGTACCAAACCATCAAGCAGCTGTGAGCTTTGAAAGTGGCAAACTATTCCGGCCGGCCGCCGAACAAAGAACGTCTGGAGCACGTGGGCACATGATGGGGTCATAATCAAACACAGGCACACCCGCCAAAGGTTGAGTACAAGAAGAAGGGCGGTAGTCTCGCCAACGCACACCCGCCTCCTTTGACGGCGCACCACACGGAAGTACCCCATCCCGTTCCCCGAATATGGACGCTCAATCACGTGACCGCCGCTTCACACAGTACTGTAGCCCTACTGCACACAACCTTACCAAGCCACACCCACGCACCCGCATCACTCCGAGGACGAACGGGACATAATGTACGCATGTAGCCACATATGATACACATCAACCGGACGAATGGGATATACAGCATAGGCGCTCTGCGGATTCAACGCTGCTTGCCTGCCCAACCAAGAACGGTACTTCACATAACGGGGAAACCCGAAAGGTCAGGGAACAACATCGTCAACTCTCTTGCCGAGCTTTTCCTCCAGCACGGACTCCGTGACCTCCCACAGCCGGGGCGGGTTGGCGGGATCCAGCGCCAGCTCCGAAGGCGTCTCCTCCTTCATGTTGCCCCAGTACTTGCCCGAGAGCTCAGGGCCGGCCAGGGACGGGTCCACCGCGCACCGGACGGTGGTCAAGGCCCCGTCCAGCGGCCCCTTGAGCCACACCCACCCCAACGCGACGTACCCGGCGTTAACGATCGGCATCATCAGCTTGCCCCCCCCGATGCCTCTGTGGATTTCCGTCTTGACCAGCCCGGGCTGGACGGCGTAGGTGTTGATGCTCCGGGCCGCCAGGCGCTTGGCGAACTCCTTGGCGTCCCAGATGTTGGCGAGCTTGGACCTGCAGTAGGCGGACAGCCGGTCGTAGGTCTTCGGCTTGTCGAAGTTTACGTTGTCCCAGTCCCAGGTCGTCTTCGGCATCCCCGGCGGCCGGCTGTGCGCCAGGGAGGAGAGGAACAGCACTCGACCGCCGTCGTTCATCGAGGGCTCCATCAGCCTCGTCAGCAGGTGCCCGCCGAAGTGGTTCACGCCGATCTGCATCTCGAGGCCGTCCGCGGTCTCTCGACGATTTGGGACGCCGAAGATCCCGGCGTTGTTGACGAGGACGTCGACCTTGGTGCCCGAGGCCTTGAACCTCTGGGCGAAGGCGACTACGGACTGCAGGGACCCCAGGTCCAGGACCTCCAACCGCACGTCGACTTCGGTCAGCCCGTCGAGAAGGTCCACGCCCTGGGAGAAGGAGGTGTACGAATGCGACAAGCGGGCAGGAGAAGAGAGGTTGACAGTGTTGTGAGGTACCGTTTGGTCGGATGGCAAGAGAAGCGCCTTCTTTTTGTAACGCGGTGTGGCTGCGTCGAGTGCATTTCAGTCAAAAGACGATGCAGATGGAAACGTTCAGAGCTGCTCGCTTTACCGGCAACGTCAAGCGGAGATCTGGATATCTTGGGCTAGGGCACCCAGGCGCGACTTATCTTTGACTACAACCCTTAAAGCGGCACAACGTAGATTCAACCACCACCTGCTGCCGGTTAAATGCTTTCGAAGGAAGGACTGCATGCCGGTCCGGTAGTGATTGGAACTGCTGCATCGTACAAAGTGAAGTACAGGACGTGTGTAATACTAAACTCCACGTTGAGGCAGGTTCGGAACATGCACTCAACGGTCGAGTGCGATTCTGGTCACGCCTACCAATATCTTGAACCAAGTGAGAATACGTATCGATCTTGTGAAGCATCCGCTAGAACCGGGTGCGGTTTTGATGTAGCAACAACATGGCCGGCCTCGAACTCAACTTGTGGAACTCAACCAAAGCGCATGTGTTGAAAGCAAAGAGTCCCGCGCGGCCGCTTAGACTGAACCTTGTACACGCTGGTCTTTGGTCCATGTCTTCACCGAGGTGCATACTCGATTCACAAGCCTCTCCCCACTCCCGTGCACACCGCCAAGGATTTCTTTTGCATTCTCTTTGGCCCATTCTTACGGCCTGCAATTCCACGTTCCCGTTCCCTTCGCGCACACACGTTTGCGCGGGAAAATCCATCCCCAGCTAATATATTCTGTGCATGACTCCCACCCCGCGTAGACAATACCTCTTTAACAGGTTTCTCCAGTGCCTCCGCTTTCATCTTGTCGATCGCCTGTTGCCCCCTCTCCGCGCTGCGGCAAGCCAGTGTCACCTTCGCCCCCATCTTCGCGAGCTCCCGAGCGGTAACATACCCCAATCCAGTGTTGGCTCCAGTGACGATGAAGTGCTTCCCCCGGAGATCTTGTCTCAAGGACTTCGCCTTCCGTGTGGCTTTGGAATCCCCAAACCACCCCATGCCTGCACTTCTAGACTTATCGCTGAGGCAGAACGCGCGGAAGCCCACGCACGGTAGGGTATCCAGCAAAAAGACAAAGCCTACCCACCTACCCACTTGGCCACAGCCAAACGCATGCGGAGATAGATAGATGCAGTCAGTGGAATTCGTTGTCCACTGTTTTAGACTCTTCGCTGCCGTGAGCAACACGTACCCACACCAGGCTACGTTTTCACACAGCTGTAGAATGAGGTCTTGCCTAGCACTTGGGTTGGGCGAGACCACGGCAACTCCACCACAGGGTTCAGGGTTAGGGTACTGCGCGGCAGGCGGCAGCCACGGCTCCGTGGTGCATCTCGAATACCTCCCTGTGATTGGCTGATGTGGACAGTCACGCTGAAATAGACTCGTAGGCTCGTAGAACTCGTAGACCGCAGCAAACTAAATGTACCGCTACTGCTGTGTACTCGTACCGCAGCTGTACACCAGATCCCTAAACCGCTGTGCAACGTGCAACGTACAACCTAACCTACGACCTACGTTTGCAAACTCCCTCCCTCTCTCCCCCTCCCTTATTTTGTATGGCTTCGTGGTAAATCGTCCAAGTTGCAGGTTGAACACTTCATCCAGACTTGAAGTGCCTTGCTTGCAATCGCTCGCGCGTGTACCACCGTGTGCCTCCTCTTCTAACCAACACAGATGGTTAGCAACACCTCGTAGCTGAAGTTTTTCCATGGATGCCACTCGACGTGATTTCCGCGACTGTAGCATAGGAACCGCCGCGTGTATGAATATGTAATATTGCATAATTAATTGCCCACCATTGACTGAATGAAAAATACGAGGACGATATTCCAGCGCCACCGTTGACTTCGATTCCACTGCGTTTCCTGAAGCAAAACTGATGCGTTGGGTGACAGCTCAGTAGCTTCTACGTCAAACATGTCTCCACAAGGCGCAGCTAGCTTCATTGTAGGTACAACCCGGTTCCGAACCGATTCAGACAGTACAGCAGAGAGGCGCTGTCAACGAAGCAAACGGCGCTGATGATATAGTGATGATTGCTACATATACCAACCGGCGCGAGGCTGGAAGTGAAGGAGGCACCAACTACCTGCCAGAATAATCATGTTTGGGGTGCTCGGCAGAGTATACTGTCTACGGGACCTCCGGGGGATACGCGGATGAAATGTGTTGATGGGCATGCTGCATGGCGATGGTGTTGCCTACCGCATGTCTCTCACTCTCTAATCAACCAAGGTCTTGAGTCAACCTTCTTTCTCTTTCGGCCTCTGACGGGCTACCGCACCCAAACACAATATATTGTGCGGCCTGGTGTTGGTAGTGGGTATTGGCGTCTGAGCTGTATGTGCCGGGCCAATGGGGCGGCGAATACGATATATATAGCTAAGCTGGGACGTGGCCAACGGGAACGGGACAGCACGGCAGCGGGTAGTGTATAGCTGGGACGGTGGCCATCGGGGACCGGGACAGCGGGGGGTGTATTGCTGGGACAGCGCTTCAGGGCTGGGACAGCAGGGTACGGGATATTTTTCAAGCGTAGACTATGGCGGAGAGAAGCGGCGGAATAGGAAGAGATTCGCAAAGGGAGGAGGGTACAGTTGTGCGCATCAAGATGGAGGAGAGGTCGCGCAACGCAGCAGAGAAGCTACGAGCTGCCGAGTCGGAGGTGGAGAGGCTGGTGAAGGTGCTCAGAGCTGCGGAGGCTGCCGAGTATGAGAAGGAGAGACTTAGGCGGCAGCAACAACAACAACAACAGCAGCAGCGATGGAGTGCTCAATGGCAGCAGCAGCCATCGCAGGTACAGCAGTGTTCTCGTGGTGGTTTTGTCAGTCAGCAGAACCAACACTGCGTTTTCACTCAGAGCCACCAGGCGAGGCAGCACCAGCAGTTGGCGCGGCAGCAACAGCAGCCGCCGCCAACCGGAGTTGGTGGGATATATGACTGCGGGAGCAACGCCGTGTATTTCCAGCAGGAATCACCCCCTCCGCCTGGTACGGTATACCATTGCACTCGGTGCGGCAGGAACGGCCACCACGACGAAGAATGCGCCGCACCCCGCAGGTTCGAGGGTACGTGCGGCGCATGTGGTCAGTACGGCCATATGTGGCGGAACTGCGCCGTGCATCTTCATGGCAGCAGCGGCGAGGATGACGGCCGTATCGTCCGCGGTGGCTGCTGGATGGGCGTCAATGGCGGCGGCAGCTGCATGGACATCGGTGGAAGCTCGGTCGTACAGCAGCAGGTGGTGGTTGAGAGCGAGTACCGCTCTGATTTTGTCGACCTGGTTCACGTTGGGGGCGAGGTGATGGCAGAGAGCGAGTGCCGCTCTGATTTCGTCGACACGGTTCACGCTGGCGGCGCTGTGGACGGTGATGATGACGGATGGTTTGGATGTAATGATTCTGTGGACATGGTTCACGCTGGTGGCAGTGTCTGCGATGATGTTTTCCCCGCTGCTGGGGCGGGGGAAATGGTCGGAGAGCCTGCGTTGGCGACTGGAGTGGCGGCATCGGCAGCAGCTCCAGCGGCGGCGGCGGCGATCTCCGGCGGCAGTGTTTTCCCCGCGGCGGCGGCGGGGGGAACGGCCGGGGTCCCCGCGGTGGCGGCAGGAGCGGCGGCATCGGCAGCAGCTCCGGCGGCGACGGCGGCGACCTCTGGCGGCAGTGTTTTCCCCGCAGCGGCAGCGGCGGGGGGAACGGCCGGGGTCCCCGCGGTGGCGGCAGGAGCGGCGGCATCGGCAGCAGCTCCGGCGGCGACGGCGACGGCCTCTGGCGGCAGTGTTTTCCCCGCGGCGGCGTCAGGGTGGATAACCCGAGTCCCCGCGGTGGCACCACGAGCGGCGGCATCGGCGGCAGCTCCAGAGGCGACAGTGGCGACCTACGGCGGCGGTAGTGTTTCCCTCGCCGCGACGGCGGCGGGGGGAATTGCCGGGGTCCCTGCAGTGGCGACAGGAGCGGCGGCATCGGCAGCAGCTCCGGAGGCGACGGTGGCGACTTACGGCGGCGGTAGTGTTTCCTTCGCAGCGACGGCGGAGGAAGCGCCCGGAGGGCTCGTGGCGACAGCTGGAGTAGCGGCACCGGCGGCGGTTCCAGCGGCGACGGCGGCGGTGCCCGGCGACACTGTTATCTCCCCGACGGTGGCGGGGAGAACGACCGGAGCGCCCGCGTTGGTGGTTGGAGCGTCGGTATCGACGGCGGTTCCAGCGGCGACGGTGGCGGCACCCGACGGTCTTGTTTCTCCCGCTGCGGCGGCGGGGAGAATGGCTCGAGAGCCCGGCGCAGGTGGCTACAGTGGCGGCATCGGCGGCTGGAGTGGCGACATCGGTGACGGCACCACCCGCGACCGCGGCGACGGCACCGGTCGCTACGATGGCGACCGTCGGTAACGTTTCCCCCACCATATCGGTTGGGGGGGCGGCCAGCAACGGAGAAGCGGTGGTCAACGGCATCGACGACGGCAGCGATGATGGCGGTTGGTGCGCAGGTGAGGTTGATGGCTGCTGGGATGACAGCGTCTGTGGCGAGAGGGGGGCGTCCACGCACCCTTTCGATCCCGGCACCGTGTGTTCGGGGGTGCGCGGCGCCAACTATCCCGGGGTGGACGACCTGGTCGATGGTTCCAGCAGCAGCAGCAGCAGCAGCAGCAGCAGCGGCAGCGGCAGCAGTAGCAACGACGAGGCAGAGGGGATGGATGTGGCCTGGTTTGGGGCACTGCTGCGCCCCTTCGACCCGGGGAAGCTGTGCCGGCTGAAGGCTGGGAGAGTGGGGCTGGTGATGGGGATGGACACCCCGTTCGACCGTGGAAAGATGTCGCGTGGGCAACGGCCGGGGAGCCCGTGTTCGCGACCGGAGCAACGACAGGAGGATCATGAAGCGGGGAAAGGAGTTCGGAGGATCGGGCGAGTCCAACAATGACGGCAAGCAGCGCGACTTCTGCTGGGGTCTTAAACTCGCCAAGGCACGTGACGTTTGTTTGCGTATTCTTGTCATTTTTCTGAAATTTGTTTTGTGCACGATGTTGTTCTTGTGTTTTGATCTTCAGATACAATGCTGCATTTTTCACCGTCTGCAAATCATTTTTCCTATCGTTGGCACATTTGCAGGTTTGGATTTGTTTTTGTTTTGTTCTGTAGAGATGCCCACCCGCGTTTTACCTTGCAGGGACACTAATTTCCACGGCCAAATGGCAGGGAATTTCCATGGCTGATTATTGTTGTTTTTCTGGGAGACAAATGGAATGTTGCGGCCGGGGGGCTGTTGTTTGTCAAGACAATATCTCAAATGGCGGTGGTAGTATTATTTCTGCGTACGGTTTGTTCCACTTTGGTTTTCCTTCTTTGTTGGGATCACATTCTCTCTATGTTTTTCTGATGGTACTGGATGTATGTAGTAGGAGGCATTGGCTTGGCGTTCGACGTGCTGGGTAAAGACGTTGGGGGGCACGCACCGTTTCTCTGTCCCCCCGATGTACCGGTACCCGACGAGTCAATCCTTGCGGAATACCAATTTTCCTTTCCAAGTAGGCCTGTACGGCAGGCTGGTATGTGCTGGACGTGTGACGCCTTTTCTTTGATATGTTTTGTTTTCTTGTTTCGGTTTGGAGTTGATGAAGTTGGATGCAGAATTGGCATGCTGGATTTTGCGGAATCACGCCTGATTGTTGCACTGCTGTCGGAAATCATGGGGGGGGGAATGTGATACCATGCTGTCCGCCGCAGCACAACAAGCAGTGTTTCTGACATCGGGTTTGGTAGTTCATGTTGAGATTTTCCGTGTTTTCCCTGGGGATTTTATATGGAATTGATGTTGGCTGATGGGATTTGGGTACTTCATGTCTGGATCGTTTTCCGCGTTTTACCTGCGGAGGTGACATGGAATTGAATATTGAATGGGATTTTCGTTGCGTTTATATGAGATGTCCCAGCAGGGGGGATGCGGGATTGTTGATTGTCTGTTTTGGATTTGTTGGTTTCTTCATGTTTGTTTCGGACTTGTTTGTTTGGTTTCTTCGTGTTTGGGATGGGTGTTACAGCAGGGAGGCTGTTGGACTGGTATGTTTGTCAAGGTATTGGGTATTGGAGGAAGGATTTGGCATGTTCTCGTAAGTCATGGTTGAAGCCTTTGTGCTTCCGAAGGTTATTTGAGCTGGTCAATGAGTTGAAACATGAATGTTTATCTGAGGAATTTGTTCTGAGTAAGTCAGGACGTTGGACACATTTTTCCGGAGTTACCCGTCCCCGTTCTGACGTGATTCTGATGTAATGTGTGTCTTTGCTGGGTATTTTTCCAAGGGTATTTGTTTGTGTTTCGACTTCTTGAGAATTTGGTAAAGCATTTTTCTCAAGAGGGTGAATTGTTTAATGACAGACCTTTTAGGAGATAGTAATTTGATATCATCAGAAGATTTGAAAGATTTCGTAGAGCATGTTTTATTGGGAGATCGACAGATTTCGTAGAACATTGTTTTATTGGGAAATTGTTTGAATTGGAATGAATGGTGGACGATTTCCGTGTGGATGCGTAGCTTGATTTATCGCCGTTTTAACTGGCAATGATAGTCGTGACGAGGATTTCGTAGATCGTATCTCGTACCGAGCAGGGGGGCTGTTTGGGGTGCTCGGCAGAGTATACTGTCTACGGGACCTCCGGGGGATACGCGGATGAAATGTGTTGATGGGCATGCTGCATGGCGATGGTGTTGCCTACCGCATGTCTCTCACTCTCTAATCAACCAAGGTCTTGAGTCAACCTTCTTTCTCTTTCGGCCTCTGACGGGCTACCGCACCCAAACAAATCAGAAATTTGAAAGCACCAGCGTCAGCAAGGACGAGAGTCGCCTATATAGTGGTGCTTTTTTCTAAGATTTCCAGCGGCAAAAAAATTGTTTTTAGTGGTGCTTTTTCCTAGGATTTCCAGCGGCAATAATCGCATTTCAGAGTCCAACTCTTGCAATCATACCTCAACCTAAAAGAAGAGTCCGTTCAAAGCCAAGAACATGTAGACTGCCGTTGTTCTATGGTGGCAAAATGCTATCGTAAAACGAGCATGATGACTAAGACTCAATTTTTCCCGTATTAGATGAATTCTACAGTCTACAGCGCGCACACACGGCAGAGAGAGGCGGCCGGGGGTCTACGACACATCTTGGACGTCGAGACCAAAGAGGTGTGCGTAGGCAAGCGTCCGTTGAGTTGCAGCCGCTTGCGATCCTGCGTAAAAATGAAGCCGCTCCGCCTTCGGAAAGGGTTCGGCCAACACAGGCGAGGGTGTTCGTGATCGGTGGGTGTTATAGTTCTGCCTTGCACCAGATCCGTGTGCATTGTAGACCGAAAACCGCATGGCAGCACACGCCCTGTTAACCGAGATCACTTTTAAGCAGGCATCACTGTGAGCTTAGGAATCATGATTTTTTGGGCGGGGTTACTTGTACATAGCAGCAGAAGATCAGCTACTTTTGAGAGGACATCACATTTCACCATGGCAACCCAAATTAAGCGAAATTCTTAATTTCGATCCCGATACGTTTATTGTCGACTTCCTCCCAACCATCAGTGTCCATCCTGCTTGACTTCTTGATTGAATACATCTCTCCTTCTACATAGTCCTGCCCACGAAATGAAAGTTGCGTAATGGATCTACGGTAGAAACGGTGTTTTGTTCGGACCTGTAACAAGAGCTTTGGGCAGACTTGAAGAATGGCGCATATGGGCCCCTCGTCGCCCTTCACAATCGCCAGTCGCAGAATCCGCCGCCACTCTCCGTCTTGTAGGTGTTGTTGGGCTGCGAGCGACACGAGGAACGGAACAAATTCACATGAAACAGGCAACACGGCTTCAACGCAAAAAGGTCCGAATAGTGCAGTGCCTACCGTGTATCTCTGTATTCTATAGCACTGGCATCAGAAGAAATTCATACCTCATGCCGTACCATCTTTCAACGTTTCGTCCGGGTGCCCGTTGATGGTGATTTTTGTTAAGGCGGTCCGTATTTCGATCATTTCGAGCAAGGTTTGTTGCGACGGTGGCATTTATTCGAACAGCTTCAACTCGCCCCTTGTGCAGAGTCCTGTCGTCGATGATGAGTTGTGTTTCCATTGCGCAGCTTCGAGCTGGTGTGCATTATAATGTTTCTGGGCAGCCGGACTTTCACAAAAGAAGTGCTTCAAGTCTCGTTGTTTCGCCAGGTTGAGATAAATCAAATCAAAAGGTGTTTATACCCCTTCGATGAGGGTCTACCTGCTGCCTGCTATGCCAACGCAACTGACCGTAGCTTGTCAGCAACCGCAGGCACTCCTGACCACGCCCGGAAGCCAATCGTGCGCAGCTGCCGCTGCTGGTAAGGCCTTCCGCTCCCGCCTCGACTGCTTTCACAATAGCGTTCTCGAGCACTCGGAGATGTGCCCACGGCGGGAGGCAGAAACGCTCGTGGTCACACTGCTGAAGTGCTTGCACCCTGCACCTGTCGGTACATGATCGAAAAAGGCCCAAGAGCAGGTGGGAGGTTTCGAACCACGACAAACAAGCATTGTATGGAAACGAGCGCTGCTCAAACGTCGAAGAAAAACCAGGTTACGTCGGGGGGTACTGTAGGGTGCCAAGTCCTCCGTCGGACGTTTTCATTGGTCCACACCTACCTCTCGTCCTCAATCAATCGCGATGCGCACCCCGTGCTGCGGGCTGCTCCGCATTCCACTAGCGCGAACCCGAGAAACCCTTTCGGTGGTTGGAAGAGGTTGCTTCCGAGTAGCATGTGTACGACCTGTTGAGCAAGCGCACTTTAGGTTGTTGGAGCGCTTTGTTGTGTCACGCTTGGTTACTGATGCTCCAGTACAACCTCTATTGCTTACTGTTCACGGCAATAACACTACTTCTCCGTGGCACAAGCCCAACATGTTCGTATACCCTAAATAGTGTGTGTTGAAGATGCTTGTATTTCACCGTCTGAATAACTGTTTTTGCGACACCGCCAACCGTGCTCGAACTGTGCAAGACTACTTGAAAATACTAAAGCACGGTTCCGGCACGGTTCAAACCCTATAGGACGAACCGTGTCAAAAAAATGCATGGTTACTCGCACGGTTCGATCACCCCCTGTAAACTGCCTCTTGCATACTACACGACCAAATCTATGGGGGTACGAAAAGTGTACAGTTCACTGCACGGTTCCACGCCCCCTGTAAGCTGCACGAAATACGATCCAGGAACCCCTCGCGTCTCTTGCCGAGTCTCGTGCGACACCTGCAGCAGGCTAAGCTGGAAAAATGCGAAAAGAGCGGAGGGGGGGGGGTAATGACGCACGCACGATGGCGGGCAGTGCACGGAAGTGCTACGCGGTGCTGGACAGTGCGGGAAGGGGGTTGGGTAGACATACTTAGAACATACGTGTGCGCAGAATTTGGCAGCGAATGGTCCGGGGCGCGTGCGGCGGCGATAAGTGGAAAAAGGGGGCCCCGTTGGTGCGATTTATCACGGAACGGCGGTTACAGTACGCTACAGACTTCACATTGCACCGCAATTTTAGCGGGGATGGATAGATATGGCCACAACACCCGTGCACGCCAAGTTTGGGGGCGAGACACGTGTGCTGGGGGCAAACCGGCAGGGAAACGTGCTGAAGAGTACAGTTTTCGGAGCTTAAAAATCCAAAAATGCTCCGATTTCGATAAAAAAAATCCTGGAGATGCGCACAGGGTAGGGGAAGCCTCCTGCAAAGTTTAGTGAGGAGACTCGAAATTGGTGAGGAACTGTGCAGCCAAATGTCTAGACTTCTGGGACCGGCACTGCTGTAAAATCAGTATTTTGAGTGTAAAAAATCAGTACGTGCTCCGATTTCAATGAAAAAAAATATGGAGGTGCGCACCGGTCAAGGGCACCCCCCTGCAAAGTTTCATCCTCAGATTCGAAAGTGGCGGGGAGCTGTGCAGCCAAATGTGTACACTTTTCGGCCGGGGTACTGCTGTAAACAGCTGAAAGTCTGCTCTCAGCGTTGGTCTCATGTGAAATCCAAGCTGTGTGCACCAACCCACCCACATGCATTATTTGGGGTGTAGGTGGTGGATACGGGTGCCCAAGTCTGTATTTGGATGGGGTGGGGGTGCTTTGGCGCCAAAAAAATCAAATTCGAAAATTGGGGGGAGTGTTATTTTGCGTAGCAGATTACGAAAATACAGTCAGGCAAAAGCGATCAACTCAACATCACAGCGCCGCTCAAAAAATAAAGAGGAGGCGCGCACAAAGCCACATACACATCACAGGAGGCGAAAGCGACCGGTCTCGCGCGCCGCGGGGGCGTTTCATGAGCGCGCGGTCGCCAGCTAAGCTCTCAAATGCGCGACGTGGTACGCCCCGCCGCCTGCCATGGTTGAAACAAAAATGAGAACGTGCCCGAGAGCGGAAAGAGAGACAACACCACATACCTCGCTTCCTCACAGCTCTCCAGATACCTCTAAGCTACTGCTGTGTCCTGCTGCCCGATGTCCGCGGCGCGCGTGCGAGAGAGAGGGGGAAGGAAGAAAGGTGTGAGAGGAAAGTGCGCTGCAACTGCGCAAAAAAAGGTTCGGGAAAATGTTACGGTTCGGCAACAAATGCGGCGAAAATCACAAAAACGGCGGTTCCTCGCCGCTACGGGCTCCGTTTGACCTCGGATTTTTTGCACGGGTTGCTGCCGACCCCCGCGCATCGTGCCAGCAGTGTGCCCAGACTGAACTCGGACACGAGGCATGCTTATACCTCACACCGCATACATTTGTGCCCTACGGGCGATCACAAAAACAACGACCCGCTGACCAGACGGGGCCGAGAAAAAACCCCGTGATGTCCCGATATGACTCTAGTGATGACGTTGGCCAAATATGGGGGGCAAACTCCCTATGGTGGCGCTTTCCGCACGGGTACTGCACCATGCAGCAAATCCTATGATTACAACGTACGCCAGATAGCGAGAACCGGGTGGAGAATGGTGGACAGTGCACGCCTTGCTGTCGGATCCTAAGCGGTGATGTCGAAAGACAACAACGCCGAGACTCTACCGGGACAACAGCGGTGAATTTCGAAAGATGATCGCACCGAGACGCTGTCGGGACAAAGGCAGTGCCACTTCTGGGCGCTCACATTCGCCTGCGCATCGCAGCCCTGCCCTCACAACGGCCATTTTGGGAAACTGTATTGAGTGTTTATTATTGTAGTCGAAACGGCACATTTGCACCGCGGCCTGACCATCTACCGGTTCACTGCACTACGGCCCCAAACCGCGTGTCGTCGATCGATAATTTGCGTTTCCTCAGCGCACTAAAATTGGAAAACAGATTGTCAGGGTGTGACCGGAGGACGTTCACTCTCTTTGAGCTATGGTATACCCGGAACGCACACTGGATCTTCGTTGCCGACACCGACTGCTTCCTGTCCATGTATTTCCGATACATGTTCTCCACCAACTTGGCGAGGACCTTTCCACTGTACTGTTGGGCGACCTCGGGATCACTCTCGGATATCGCGCGGGCCATGTAGAGCGCGGTACCAGCCTTTATACATTCGTCCATGTAGCTATCGAGACACTCCTTTTCATCCCACACCTCTTCCGTGTAATCTCCAGAGGAGAAAGCATCACGAAAGTATACTATGCATCTGTACACATCACAGAAATCCTCACGTTCGTATCCCTCACTCAACCAGTAACACAGCGGTAAACCTGAATTCATGGGAATTGTAATGTACTTGCGCTTGACCATCTCTTTAATGGTTTCCTTGCGATAGTTGTCGAAAACACCTGAAGAAGATATCATCAGCCTGGATTCTATCCATTCGTTCCACTTGGAAGCGTCATAGGGGATACACGACTCCCAAGGACGTCCCGTAGCATCGGAGCCATCGGCGACCATCCAGTCGGCGAGTTAGAACGCTTGGTATTGTACTACCACCGCCCAAATAGTCTCCTCCTCTTCCGCAGTTTCATAATGCGCGCGCTCAATGCGACTTATTAGCTGGTGCTGGTCCCACCAGCTGTATAGTGGTCGTTCACCGATCATGCATGAGATAAACTCTTCGTGCAACATCTCGTAATCCGTGATTTTATGCAAGTGTTTGAAGGGAATGGGGTGGGTAGTGCGCTTCACGAGAGTAAATTAAAACCAACAACTTTGTCTGTGAACACACCTCGAACCCCTACACCCCTCGTGCAAAATCGGTCTCGTACGCGTGCCCCCCACTGCATTCTGAACTAATAACTTTTGTGTGGCTTCATGCCCCATCCAAGCTCACTCCCCCGACCTCGACCATGGCTCCTGTTTCTCCCGCACCCAAGCGCATTAAAGTTTCAAGTATCTCGAAGGCGAAGAAACAAATCACCACCCTACAAAAACCGAATTTCAACGCAAACGAGGTCAAGCGCGCGACCAAGGAGACCACCAGCTTCAAGTGTCCCGTCTCGCCGAAAAAAATATTTCTCGAGCCCACCGACGGCCAAGTGCGTCAGTTCTACGGCGCCAGGAATTTTAGTGGCACTCCATATGATCGGTTACCTCAAGCCGAGAAGCTCGCGTGGCAAGAGTCTCTGAGAGACAACCTGACCCTGATCGGCTTTCACGTCTACTCCCAGCTCTTCCCGAGCCTACTCGAAAATCGAATCAAACTGAACAAGGCGAGCCACCACTACAGAGACATCGACCGCGCGACGCCCGAGGGTAGGAACCAGCTAGAGCAGCGCCGAGAAGCCCTCACAAGACTCCAACGGGTCGGCTCGGCTCGTTCGGTGTTTCACGGGCTCCCGTACGGGGTGGACAAATCGAAGAGTATACTACAGTTCATGAAGATGGATTTCGACGACGACGATTCGAGGCAGCGGTTCTTCCTGCAGCGAGATTTTGCCACAATATCTGGGAAGCGAGGGGAGACCAGCTCGTCTAGTGTGTATGCATCATGTTCTTCTGCAATCGGGCTTATGTGGTTCGCGACGGTCATTCTTGGGAGGCCCACAGCTTTCGAATCGGTCGTCTTGCCCCTGAACGTGATGGAGCGTCGCGTGCTCGAGGAGAGGTGGCTTTGCCCCCCCTGCCACTTGGACGGCGCTATCCGCGGCTGGGAGACAGACTGGAGGGGCGTGTTTCGTGCGATAAACGTACCGCACAGAAACATAGCCTACATAATGTTGGAGCGGGCGTGCCAAGACAAGTACATTGAGGGGTTCCACGTAGGAGACGCGTACGGTCTTTTCAAGGCGACCCGCTCGGCCCCGGGTGACGCCGAGAGGATAGCTACACTGTTTCGGACGTACACAGAAAAAACAAAGTACGGGATCGAGTGCGGACCTGTGGTTGGGAGTCTGGACATAATCCGACAGCGACCAGTGGACTCTGTCGGCCGCATGGACGGCTCCGTGTTGGGTTCCATACATTTGACGTATGGAGAGAGAGCAGGCGTCGCGGCGATGGCTGCTTGCAACACACCGCAGGGAGGCCCAACGCTCTTCGACGCTAGTGTCGGCGCGAAACTCACGGAGATCATGGCGCACTTCGACAGCCAGCTTTGGAAAACGAGGAAAAGGCTCAAAATGGCAAACACCGTCAGCAACAACCTGGACCCCGCCGGCCTCAACAAGAAGGTGGATGGCGGGCGTATGTTGGATCCCACGGACCCCAAGGCGGTGGAGATGATGTACGACATGCTCAAAGGGGTCTGCTTCGGCGTTTGGCACCCCCTGAAGAGCCTGATCGGTGAGAAACTCGGGGCTAGCATGGAACACCCCTCCGCGTTTCTTAAAATTTCCAATCAGGAGGCCGAGCTCCTGTACGAGCACGCTAAGAATACGGGTGTGCTATACTCCGACGTAGCCAATCTCTGCGTCTTACTCGCGCTAAGCAACTGTTTTCAGAGGTCCCAGGTCATGCGCGAGGCAACGGTGAACGAGTATGCTCTTGTTCCGGACGGCACCCACTTCAGGCACACTTTCAAGGACCGAACCTGGAAGACGGCTACCGCCTCAGCGTCGAGTGGGGCTCTTCCCGTTAGTCACTTTGAAATGTCAGCAGACCAAAGCATGATGATACATTTTGTAGCCTGTGTGGGCCACCGCTTCTGCGACGTAGACATGCGCGACGGCAACAGGAGGCTGTTTGTCAATTCGAACGGGGAAGGGTGGACCCCAAACGACACTCGGTCGCGTTTCAAAAAGATTGGGGCGTACTGGCTAGGAATTGAAAACTTCTCTCCCCATGTGTGCCGTACGTTTTGGGCCACACACGCCCTGAATTCGGGCCAAGTCAATAGCAGTAATATCGACGACTTTAGCTCCTATCTCCAGGTGTCGAGTGCCACGTTAAGGAGTAGCTATGCAGCTGCCTCTGCAAACACAGCTGCCCACACAATAGGCAACGTCGTGCTAGGTGGCGTAGTCAACTCGGCTTGTCGTGTGGAAATTGCGGAGAATGGCGATGGGCCGCAAGGGCCGAAGCTGCGTAAGATCAGACTGGAGTTCCTTGCGGACATCCGCGCATCTCTGCTCAAGTACTCGGGCGATGCCAAACACATGTTCCAGGATCTAGTGAGGAAGCGTAAGGTTGGTCAGCTCGGAGAGAGTGAAAAATGGTTTCGGAAGGAGAATACTTTCTGGAAGGATGAACATGAAAGGGTGTTTCTGCGTTTCGTGGGAGGGGTGTGATGTGTGTGAAAATGAATAACAGAAGTTCGTAGATGGACACGTGAGCGTGTGATTTGCAAATTAATAATAATTATGTTTCAACGACAACTAGTGCCAAACGCGGAAGTGGCGACGCCGTGCGCTCGGCGCGGAGGGCGAGGCGTTTACCTCGCTATATCCAAATGCCCCGATATGACTCTGCTGCATGTGGATATGGGTCTCACCGAGTATGCGGGCCACGATAGAAACTAGACTTCGGGGTGGGTTTGCCCAGTTTTCCCTTATAAAAACGGTTGACACACTTGCGCAGCTGTACATATTTCCACCATAAACACATACAACGGTGGTCCTGTCAACAGATGGCAAGCGTGCCAAAATACCAAGGCGAAAAAAGAATAACAGGGGCGACTGCGGCAGCGAAAGGTGTTATCTGCTGCTGTAGAGCACTGAAATCGGCCGCCAGCGCCGCCACATGCTTTGATTTCATTTCTGATTTTTTGTGCACATGCGCACGAGTCGGGGGCACCATCGTGCAAAATTTCAAGGCCGAACACTTAAATGGTGCACAGTTATGCTTACACTTTACCCGCAAACACTGCTGTACAGCTTGTTTCGAGCTTTAAAAATCAGGATCTTCACGGATTGACTTGAAATTTCAGTATGTTGTTCCGCCAGGTCAGGCGCACTGCTGTATATTTTTTTTATGGTCAACGGATATTTTGGGGCTGAGATACGGGACTAAACGTGGTACGCGCGGCAGGGGGGGTCTCTAATTTCAAGTGATTTACTGCAGGCGGACCGGGAGAACACCCATACACCCACCATTTCGTATTATTTGACCAGTGGGTACGTGCGAAACTCACATAATTTGTTTTTTTGGGTGGGGGGGGTGTGTGGGGTGTATTTTTGCACCCCGTGTTATTCAACGTACAGTATGTCACGTGCGCACGCGGGGGTGATACAACAGCAAACACGAGAAGCGCGTCTAAAATAAAAATTTCTGCACAGGGAGGCACCAGTACACCCACAGGAACGATTCGCCGGCGTTCACGCAGAGCGCGGGCGAGTTTTGTGACCTATACGAGCGTTACCAATAGTCTAGAATGCGCGCCGCGCGGCAGCTGCTGTGACGCACACGCGGCTGTGTCACACGCACACACGTCTAACCACACAGACACCCGCAAACGCACCTTCCTTTCGCACAGAGTCCCCCGAGTACCTTGTTGACCGATCCCGCTGCTCCGCCGCTCGCTTCCGTTGTCGTGTGAGGCAGGACGAGCGTGTGACACAGACGCACGGATGCGACGGTGACGGGACTGTCAGGCGACGGGACTGTCGGAAAAATATGGAGGCATTTTTCACCCAGAGAGGTTTTCGGGCATTTTCTCGACACCACGTGCTCCGATTGACCTCGGGTTTTTTGCGTTCGATTGGCATGACCACGGCGCGTGCTGCGAGCGCCGCTGGCGGTGTGCGGTGCTATTCCGTAAGACAAACAATTGCCCGCCCCGAGCTCGATCCCCACTTTGGTGATTTTGGAAATAGTGAGGTACTGACATTAAAACAGCGATAACGTGTCGCCAAATGATCGGATTGCCTTCTTTTTTTTTTCAAGACTGCTGTACGAGTCCTGTGCATGCGCCTGCAAAATTTCGTGAGGGACGGCGCATTCGGCGATGACTCTTATCGTGCTGTAGTGCCGCTGCTGTGTCAGAGGTGTGTCGTGCGCGAGACGGTTCCGCCGCGTTTTGGGGTACCCATGTTTTTGTTTAAATACGCGGAGCCCCTTTTTTTGTCAACCTCGCTGGTAGCCAGCCGTCGCAGCAAGCCCTCTCGAGGGAGCTGGTGGCGATACTAAAGGAGTGTTTGGAGCGGGCGCTTGATAACAGGAGTGGTGATCTTTGTGGGAATTTTCAGGTGAGGGGCGAGCTTTTTTGTCCAGACAACCAGCGTGCACACCTATTGACAACCTGCCCTGCCGCTTCTTGCTGCATGCTGGTTGCGCCGCTATACATAGCAGCAGATAGCGGCCTCCAAAGATAGCCCCCGGTACAGCAGTTGGTCGTCCGTGGCGTACAGCAGTGTGCGATTGCGTCGAGAAGATCTCTCCGAGAGACATATGTGTGCAACGTCGCAAGCAATCGGCGGGCGACGTTTCCAACCGCCCACTTGCTGCAACACGACCAGGTGAAAATGACTCCCCTGATGTATGCTGCCCAGCCGCGGGGAGAAAGAAAGTAAGTTTGTTGAAACAGATGAGCGTCTGTTGACTGCGCCAGCTTCCGCCGCTGCGCTCTGGCTTATGTAAGACGGTTTCACTTTGCTGTGATCTAGCGTGCTTTGTACTGCTCTGAAACTCCTTTTCCCTCGACACCTACCTTGTCTTTTCTGTTTAACCAGTAACGATGTCTGGGGGTTTAACCAACTATCCTTCCGGAGACTACAACGAACTACATCGTGCTGTGGCGGAAGGACGTATCAAGAAGATATTGGCAAGACTTGGTCTTGGGGTGGATGACATCAATGCTCCGAGTAAAACCAAAGGAGAGACGCCACTCACAATTGCGTCCGCACATGGCTATGACAGAGTCACCACGTTGCTTCTAGACCGTGGTGCTGACACGGAACGCGTTACACCTTCAAGGGGGTGGACGGCTCTGTTCTTTTCGATTCCATATCCGGACGTAACGAGGGTCCTCCTCGAGAGTGGCGCAAACAACGGGGCGAAGTCTCTGTGTGGTTCCACCCCGCTTCACTTTGCTATACGCGGCGAGATCGGTGACGCCTGCCTGGAGGTCGCGGAGATTCTTCTCGAGTTTGGAGCAGATGCCAACGCCAAAGACAACCAAAAGCAGTCGCCTCTCCACCTCCTAGCACACAAAGGTCGGCCGGCGAAGGGGCGCGTGGAAGCCGCAAAGTTGCTGGTCAAGTTTCGTGCAAACATCGACGCCATGGACATCAAGGGTTGTACACCACTGATGAATACCTGTGTTTACGTGACCGGACTCGTGGCTTTGGCAGAGATGTTGGTCGCGGAAAGTGCTAGCCTGGACGCGCAGAACATGTTTGGCTCAACACCACTGCATTTACTTGCCTCGGGTGATAAAGTATGCGGTAACGAACTGCTGGAAATTGCAAAGCTACTGATCGAGAAAGGTGCAAACATCGAGGCGATTGACAGAAACGGCTCCACCCCACTTCACCTCGCATCCATGTTTGTTGGAAATATTGGCCTCGTCAAGCTGCTGCTAGATCGCGGAGCCGACCCGGCTGCGAGGGACATCACCGGAGAGACACCGCTTCATCTGGCTGGCTTCGCTGGGAGTTTCTGTACCATGTCAGTGCTCATCGCTGCCGGTGCGAAGGTCAACCCCCGTGATCAGCGAGGGGAGACACCTCTGTTCAAGGCCGCTTCCCGAGGACATCTGGTAGCGGTCAAGATTCTCCTACATGCGAAAGCCAGTGCTCTGTTGCCCAGCTCGGATGGCGATGCAATTATTTACCCCCTGGAAATTGCGGCGGCATTGGGCCACACCGACATTGTTGGAGAGCTGGTGCAACGCGTTGGAGTCGATGGTTGTGGTGGGCCAAGTGGTGGCGCACACGCTCTCGCGCTTGCAGCTAAGGATAAGCGAGTGGATGTCATGCTTATTCTTCTCAAGACCGGCGTTGTCGATACGGGCGAAGCTCTGTCAGAATCCGTAAACGAGTTTGCCTGCATGAAGTCACTCGTTCAGCAGCGCCTGGGAGACTCGGACTACCTGGATCGATACGGACGTTGTGCTGAATCGATTAAGGGGGCCGGCGAACAAGCAACTTCGGACCAGCTAAACATGATGCGGGCCGTCCAACGTTTGCTACTGCGGGCGGAGGCGGTGACGGCTATTTCCTGGCGGTGGTCGACGGGTACGGATGCTGCCGCCCCAACCACCAAGACTACTACCGCCGCTACACCTGCCCTGACTGCAATGATGCCTCTGCTGAGGCGCAGGGCTGTGAGGCGCGGATTTGCCCTGCGCGCCATGCTCAGGTGTGTGTTTGTGTATTTACGTATGAAAAACGAAATAAATCCAATTTACATCGCCTCGTACTACCATCGTCGCCCATCCGTGGCGACGGCCCCACAATCCAACTGCCCCACCCCCTACCAGGCGCCCCGACTTTATATTTTCTACGGGAGTCATTTTAGACATTGGTTCCGAGGAAAATAGGAGCTATTCTGGGCGACTTTCCCCTCTTCTTTGGTATTCCAGGTGCACGGACGTTTCCCTGGCCGAACGCGGCCGCTGTAGCTTTTTTATATGCGGCTTCGTCAATGACCTGACCTATATCAGGCAGGAATACTGCCCGATTTTTAAAAACAGGGACACCTGAACCTTTCGACGGATTTCGTGGTGCTTTAGCTACTTTTTTCTTCTTGACGGACTCAAAGTGCTTCTTGTGACACGCGACGAGAAACTTCCTTAGTGAGGTCCACGCGGAGCTCATTGTTTCTCTGCGCCGCGAGAAAGCCGCGCTCGTCAAATCTCTCATCTCCAAAGCTGTCGGCACCGCCGCCATCATAGCTTGGCGGATAGCCATCAAATTGGTATCAGTGCACGCATCCTTCTTCCTTGTTTCTCTCTTCTGTCTGGCTTCACGAGCGTCTGCCGATCGCAATTCTCTTTCTAGTTTGGCATTGCGCATCCTCTCCTCCCTGATCTCCTTCTTTTGCGCTTTAATCTCGGCACGCATTTCCCCTTTCTCTCGCTGAGCTCTTTCTCTTTGAGCCAGCTTGTCCGCCTTGAGTTTGGCACCCGCGGCGCGTTTATTCCTCAGCGTTGAAGACATGACCTGTTTTACTTTTCCATCACGCCGCCTCTGCTTCAGAATTTCTGCCCGTCTTTTACGATTGGCCGTCGCCTCGGAGATAGCCATATTTTGTGGTATGTTCATCAATATAATAAACCATGATTATGCACAATCGGAAGACAGTGTGAATGCTGCTGTTGAAAGACAATAGCGCTAAAAAAAGCTATGGTACATGTACGTACGCAAAGAAAAACGGGGCTCCGCAGGATTGATCATATGAACCAGGGTACCCGCAAACGCGGCGGAATACATCACGTGCGCACGCGGGGGTGATACTCCTTTCGCACAGAGTCCCCCGAGTACCTTGTTGACCGATCCCGCTGCTCCGCCGCTCGCTTCCGTTGTCGTGTGAGGCAGGACGAGCGTGTGACCACAGACGCAGGCACGCGAAGGTCACGGGACTGTCAGGCGGCGGGGCTGTCGGGAAAAATATGGAGGCTTTTTATACCCACCGAGGTTCGGGCATTTTCTCAACACCACGTGCTCCGATTGACCTCGGGTTTTTTGCGTTCGATTGGTATGGCCACGGTGCGTGCTGCGAGCACCGTTGGCCGTACGTGGTGCTCTTTCGTTATGTCGTGAAGTTGCCCGACCCGAGTTCTATCCCCACTATGGTGATTTTGGAAATATTGAGGGGATGACAGAGAAACAGCGATAACATGTCGCCAAATGATCGGATTAACTCGTTTTTTTTTTCAAAACTGCTGTACGAGTCCTGTGCTTGCGCCTGCAAAGTTTCGTGAGTATGCCCAGATTTTTCCTACCACCAGCACCGACTCACATCATCGGCGGATCTACGGCAGCCTGTGCGTCAGATGTCTCCTTGTACATTTTCCAAGACGTGTACTCGTTTGTTACAGTGCTATTAGCATTGGCTGTCGACGCAGTGGCGTACATCATGCGACTGGTTGCGTTACTGACGAGGTAAACCCTGTCCGCCACTCCGATCGGGTCGTTTTCCTCGAGTGTCTCAATTCTTTGGATGGCTAGCGTGAGACTCGTGGTGACAGCATCGATTGCGTTTTCGGCCGTAGTCACTCGAGCCGTCAAGTCTGAGATGGTGGACGCAAGACTCGTATCTTGCTGCTCCAACGCTGTAATATCATCCTCGGTTGCATCGACACGATTCGACACGGCCGTCGCTGCGGATTCTAGAGCTGAAATCTCATCAGAAGCACTCGATACCAACGCGACTTCCTGCTCTACGGACGTAACGCGATCCGTGAGTGCAGTTGCCGCGGATGCCAGTGTGTCCTGCTCTTGCTCCAGATCCGCGATCCTCGACTCGTCCGCACCGGCCTTGACGATGACGAGCTCTTCCTCGACCGCGGTTAGGCGACCGACAACGGCAACTTGTTCTTGCTCGATAAGAGAAATTGCAAGGCTTATGTTCTCGTCGTCCAAAACACAATTCGCGATCGTCAGAGTTCCGCTCATTATTCAGGAATGGCAGCAAAAGACGTCTGCTTGTACACCAAAGGGAAAACATTATTTTTGCGTTTTTGGGCACTTGGATGCACCTGCCGGTATTTAACCGCCCGAGAGGATGCGGTAACAGACCGTGCAACGTGCGGTGCACACCCACACTTTGAACCGGCACCGGTGAGCCGGTGGTTTCTGGTCAGAAACCTGTGTTGCCAACACAGAGGGCTGCCCGACACACGCCCGTCTGGAGCACAATTTGCCCGTACGCAAAACAACGTTGCACATTATTGCCGGGGGAAACGTCAGCCTCGGCAACCTCACCTCGGCGTCTCTGATCTCCGCACGACGCTCAGCGACCACGCCGGGGGCGATGATATGCCCGATTGGTATCTCGGGGTGCGTCTCCAAGTATTGCAACCGATTGTTTCGGAGCATGGCCCTTCTTGCCACATGATGCAACGTGCGCGATCTCACGTGTCAATTTCTCGAAGGGCCTCGGCGACCAAATCGCCCTGTACGAGTCATGTGACATATTTAATGGAGTTTTGAAGGCAAGCTTGAACAGACAGAAGCAAATCCTGCTCCGTATATGGTTTCGTTACAACGAACTTCATCCCGTGGTTCAGGCACTTTTCGCGTATGTCAGAGCTGACACTCGCGGTGACCGCTACGACCGGCACGGGTTCGATTCCCATCCTGGCGCAATGGTTGTGTATCGTGGACGTGGCCTCAAAACCGTCGAGGACGGGCATCAGGCAGTCCATGAGAATGAGCTGGAAGTCTCCGTTGCCCGCCACAAACTTTTCACACGCGTCACGACCATCCACAGCCTCTGTGATTTGCGTGTGCCTGATCCCCAACTTTTCCATGCACGCTAGACGTCTGGTCAAGATGGATCGGTTGGTTCGCATGTCGTCGACAATGAGAATGTTAACCACGCACCGCTTCTTTTTATCCGAACAAGCGCCGTCGTCCGGCAGAGGTAGAATGGACGTGAACAGCATAGTGGTCCCAACGCCCTCCTTCGAGTCTTCTATTACAACATCCCCGCCCATGAGGCTAGACATGGTTTTAGTCAGGGTGAGGCCAATGCCGGCACCTTGCATGGTCTTGTCACCCTGCACGAACTCTTCGAACACCTTCGCGTGCATGGCGGCCGGGATGCCGTGACCATGGTCCTGCACACGTATCTCGCACACGTGGTCATCGTAGTCATAATCGACGTCGATTGTGATTGCACCAGAATCAGAGTATTTGATGGCATTGTTCATGAGGTTGTCCAGGATCTGATTGAAGCGCGTCTCATCCATGAGAACAATGTCTGGTAAATCCCCCATCGATAGCTTGACACGAATGCCCTTCTTCTTAGCCTCGAGACGATGCCTCTTGTTGCACTGGCTCAGTACACTTTGGAGGATGACCTCTTTCTGCTCGAGTTGCAACGCATTCGATTTTGAATCTCCTAGGGAAAGAATGTCGTCCGTGAGAGCAATGAGTTGCTGACACGTCCTCGAGATGACGCTGGTCTGCGCTTCGTTTTGGAGCAGCTCGCACTCATTTAAAATTGAGCAAATGGGTGACCTTATCTCGTGAGACATTCTTGCGATGAACACGGACTGTGCTTCGACGGCGTCTTTCTTGACAATGTCCGTGACGTCGGTGTGTGTTCCCAGCATTCTCCACGGCGTGCCGTCCGGTAACCAGTCTACGATGGTTCCTCTGCACAACACAAAAACTTCGTTGCCGTTCTTGTGCGTGTACCTCACCGTTGCGTGGTACGGCACGTTTCCCTTTGACTCCACGTGGTCGTCGCTCATTTTCAGCACTCTTTGCAGGTCATCTGGATGGATGAGGTCCATCCACGCGTTTTGTTTCTCATGCATCTCCTTCTGGTCGTACCCCAGAATGTCCCAGTATCGCTGACTCATGTACTCAAAGTTGAGAGGGGGGAACCACTCCCACACGCCGTCCGAAGTGAGGTCCGTGAGTTGCACAAGGTCCGAGCTCTGCTCCCACGTCTTGGTGTGGGCCGGAAAGATTTCCACTATGTGAACATGTGGTGTAAGATTGACTATTTTTTGTAAACGACAGGGGATTCCCGAAAGCGTTAGGTAAATGGCTTTTTCTGAGGTAACAAGTACTTTGATCGTGCCCATCGGCGCCGACCCCATTCTCGTCTTCAGGGCACCATTGAGTTCGACGAACATTTCCTTGTCGGAGTCGTAGATCGCCATGAACTGCGAAGAGTTGGTGAAGACGTCATAATGCGCTGCCGATAGATATTCAGCCATGTGGTGTCGAAACAGTTTATGTTATACGCAATATTTTTAGACAGGGATTTATTAATTTGTTGTCGGTGCTGTCACTTGCAGGAAAATCATAACTTTCTCTTTTCAACTTGTTTCACACACAAACACACCTTTCACGTGGCCACATAACGAGTTCGCTACCAAATATAGGTGTGGACCAATGATGGTAGTGCGAGGCGATGAAAAATGAATTTATTTTGTTTTCCATACGTAACAACGAAGATATGGCACTCACTTGCAAAAAGCACAAAAACTGCTACATCAGGAAGGACAGAAAAAAGTGCCTCACGCCAAACGCATGGGTGGTCTTCCTTCGAACCAACAAAAACGTGTTCACCTCCATAGAAGAGGCCTCCGTGGATTACCATAAAAACTTTAAACCGGTTCTTGAAAACTTGATCAAGGTAGGATCCAAGGACGCAAGTGCAAAACAAAAGAAAGCTCTTTTCCACAAAGCCATATGCGAGTACTTCTACCATCAAATGAAGGCTTCGGGCAAGAACACCGCAAGCAACAAGAAAAAAGTTAGTAGCAGCGTGTCCAAAGTCCTCGAGCAAAACGGCATACCCAACACACTGAAGATCATGGGAGCCACGCATACTGCAGCGGCCTTGGCTGCAAAAGAACAGGCTATGAAGAAGGCAGCTGCCAATGTCGCCGCAAAAGAAAAAACCGCAGAAGACCAAAGACGCAAAGCGGCAGTCATCATCAAGAGGGCGGTCGAGGCAGCTGCGCGGGCGAGGCGGCTGAAGAAGGAAGCTGATTCTGCCAAAACTAGAAAGACGGCCTCCAACAGAGCCAAGCGGAGGGCTGATACGCTGAATGATAGCGCCAAGGATGCCATCAAGAGGATGAAAAAAACGGACAAAGCCGTCACAGAGGCCAAAGATAAAGCCAATAAGGTAGCGAAAAGGAAGGTGCCACGAGCTTTAGCCGGACTAGATACAAAACTCAAAGATACTGGTGTGGGTAGAAAGAGGACGAGGAGACGTTGATTCAGCACCCCAACACTACATACCACTGTTCGTCAAACCTTGAAAAAAAACTCGAAGCAGCCCCTTTCTCCCTCATTCTCATCATAAGTTTGCTTGTACAGCAAGACTTCTTCGCGACCATACTCCTTTTTTGATCCGTCTTTAAAAACGACCTCGAACACTTCACTTTTTTTACCAGGCGTGTCACCTGCCTTCTCATACTTTTGCCTGACTTTGCCACATATAAAGTCGCCCTCGGCATCATCTGGGTCTGGCATCGCCAACATCAACCCAATGGGTTTGTCCATGCACGGGTCTTCGTCATCTTCTTGTCCCTGGCATGAAACGATGGACATCTCCGACACGTCGTCCGAGGAGCTTGAGCTGGAATCAGATGATGAGATGCAACTCGCTGAGGACGTGTCGGAACCCTCCCCATCGATGCTACCGATGATAGAGTTGAAGTCGCTATCGGAAGCACTCATGTTTCCATCGCTGGTGTGAACGACGTCTTTTTCCGTATCGTCATCACTGAAGCCGCCAGAAGAAGAAGAAGATGAAGATGAAGCTCTGTTGTCACCACCTGCACCACCGCCAGCCGCACCTAGTCCTGCCGCCACGAGCGACGAAGGCGTATTAGCGACCAGTTGGCCACCATGAGCCGCCGCCGCCGCAACGGGTGCCGCCACCACACCGGGTGCCTCTACCGCACCCGAAGATCCCGCCGTACCCGAAGATCCCGCCGCACGAGATCCCGCCGCACGAGATCCTCCTGTGACCGCGAGGGACGAGGGCTGGCGTGCTGCCGCACCACCTCCATCAATCATGTCAAACACGTCTGAAAAAGGGCCCGGTACAGCGGTGTCCTCGGCACGCGTCCCGAAAGCTTCGGGTGTATCAAGGTCTCCGAGTGAAGCTAGACCAAAGTCACACCCAGAGTCAATGTCAAGGAAGAGATCGTGCAGATCTTCACACCCATCGCCCATGTTTCTGTAATTCAAGCAAGAGTCGAGCGTGAAACAACGACAATTTTTGTAAATATACATACATACGGTGACTTAAACGACAGCTGTTGCCACAACAGGATGTATACTGCGCACAAGTACACTCACCCCACTCTGCTCTCCACCAACCCTGTGTCGAAAGCTTTTCTCCTCACGTACAACGGCACGGTCCAGCTTGAGTACGGGGCAAAGCGGGTGTGCGCGGCACTGGGTACGGAGCAAAACTCGAAGCGCGCAGGATACCACCAGGATCTATCTGTAGGTCGTGCCATGGCAATACATTTTTGTATTATACTCCGAAAAATATTCGCTGTTCTTGTTTGGATCTTACTGAAATTTTTCTTGAATTTATTTGCTGTCACCACATACACACACACACAAACACACACACACACACACACACACACTTTCCCGCCACTCCCCAACTTAGCCACACACACACACTCCTGTCCCTCACCCATCCCCGACCATGGATCAGCTGGCTTTCAACACCGACAGCCTCTCGCAAGACACCACGGATGGTCGCTCACAAGTCCAGTCCAACCGCTCCATGGTTGGCGCACCGGTTGATGTTCACGAAAAAATCTGCAAAATTGTGTCACTACTGTCACAGGCCTTGGTCCTCACGCTGAGCTTATTGAAATCGGTGATGTCTACACGAGACGTCCACAGCGACAACCGCCTCGAGCGAATGCCTGATGAAGAACAGCAACCGCTCCTTCCAGCACCCGGGCAGCTGGAACTTCCGGATCCTGCGAGCATCAACATGTATGTGTGTAGCGGTAAAACTGATGAGATGGATCCTCTAAAATAGCACCACGCGAGTAGCAGCAACAGCAATAACAATCGATGGTGGCAGTTGTTTGTGGCGATTAGCACGCGTAGCATCCACTATAGCATGGATTCGGTGACGGGAAGAGTTTGTCAGATACACACGCCCGTCCGGTAGCGAACTGGCAGAGATTGTGATAGGCACCGGCACCGAAGCAGGCGGTCAGTTCAACCATCATGCATGCTGTTTCACGCACCATCATGATGTTTCCCCGGAACATTCCAAAGTCATTTTGTTTATCCGAGCGTGTCACAAGGTTCCACCGCGAGCATCTGTGACAACCTGTCGCACACCTTTTGGTAGCCAGAGGGATCTGGCAATAGGTGTGAGCAACAAAGGTTGTTCATTCGATCGCAACCCGGCACAGGTTGACAGGATTGGCACCAGTAGCAGGCGGTCATTTCAACCATCATTTTCCTTCAAAAGAATATTCCAACACTCTTTTGTATCACCAGGTTCCGCCGTCACATGGCCACCGGCAACATCACCTTCACGAGAGGCCAGGGGTCTTGGAGTGGTTACTCCGGGGCGGGTGCCGACAACGATGGATCTGCTGAATAATGTGGTGGCTACCACGGAGAGTTGCGCACGGGAGACCTTTGGGGAGAGACCTTCGACGATGGACGATAGAGATTGTGGAAAAAGGCATACTTTGGCCATAGATCTTTCTCGCGTATACGAGTTCCGGTTGCGGTTCGATTTGCGGCGTGCATATCGCGGGAGGGCCCCGTGCTCCACCTGCACTTTGTAGCAACAGAGTTGTACCGGCAGAGAAAATGGTTGGATCTGAGGCGGTTGTGGATATACACGACAGTAGAGTCTCCCTTAGTTCACCAAGGCGGGCATTGGGTATTTAGAGAGTAATTTTCTGTTTTCTGGTACGTACGTGTGTGGACGACTGTACCGAGGGCCCCGTCGAAGTCTTTATTCTGTTGAACGTGAATCCGACAAGCGATTGCACGGAACAACATGAGAGCACGGGTTTGTTCAACTGAAAAAAACAAAATATATTTTGTACGTCTGCTGGTAAGCGACGCGGCATGATCTTTACGGCGAACGGCATACTAAGCATTCTTGCGGCCTACGTAAACGTGTTCACCCTTGCATCCGTGCTCCAACTTTCCACCGAAACTACTCGGCGCTATGCACAGTTTGCAGTAGTCCAGGCCGCAATGCTGTATTCGTTCGCGTACGCCGTGATACCAAAGAAACTCCCGTGCCTCGTGGCTACAGCACTATTCTTCATGTTCGAAATGAAGAACTTGGTCGGCCAGGCTGCCGAGGCCATTCAATCGTCGGATGATGCATAATATTATATTGCCCTAACAGCATCGTGAGGCGCATGGCAACAACCAACTTTTTTGAGCAACTGGAAGACTTTCTGCCCATCCACGTCTCACCCCTACCCAGCTACGCTTACGCCGCCACCGCCTTTGTCGTCTCTGCTCTGATAACCTATTACCTTGGCGCAGAATACCTTGTAACAGACTTCAATCGAGACAAGCACGTGTCTCCCGCAGAGGAGCGTGCGAGAAAATATGTACAGGTGGCTACATCCACCATAGTCTCCCTTTTTGTTGCCGACACTGTATACGACTTATCTTTTAAAGTCAGGGGATACGTGGCAAACAAAAAACATTTCGTGTACAAGCGCTGGTTTCCAAAGATCTACTCCAGTTGATAAAAACAACTACTTCTCGAGCGCCTTCACGACAACGGGAAGCATCACGAAAAACATGGCCAAAATATGTGCGATGACAAGCAGTTTTGCCTTCGGAGTTTTCGGCAACAAATCGCCGTATCCGACAGAGGAAGACGTGACCGCGCTGAAGTAGTAAGCGTCGATCGCGGATGAGAAGCCGAAGTGTGCGTGATCATCCCCATGGTCCATCTGCCAATAAAGTTCGGCGAAAACGACGAGCAAAATCAGATTAGACAATATTCCACCGACGAGCGAGGTATCAATCAATGGCCTGAACGATACAATCTCTTTCACGCCCCCGCTCGCCACCAGTCCCCTCAGAGCGATGGCGATGCCGCAAGTCACGAAAAGTCGCCGGGACATTATTTAGTGATAACAACATGCAAAGAAAATAAAGAATACCTTTTCACAACTATCAATGCACACATGGTTTCCTGGACAGAAAAACACCGCCCAACAAGACTCCAGGATGTAAGCGGTAATGAGCACGTGATCAGAGCTCTGCAATCGTTTACATCCATGGAGGCTACCCCGAATATGATTCTACACGGTCCACCGGGAAGCGGAAAAACCTCATCGATCATTTCAATGGCGAAAAGCTTCTTCGGAAGGACCAACATCTCCACCATGACCCTCGAACTTAACGCGGGAGACTCCCGGTCAATTGGGACCATGCGCGACCAGATTCATTTCTTTACTAGATGCTCCTCTGTGACAGACAGATCGACCAACGCGCTAAAGTTGGTCATACTAGACGAAGCGGATGGCCTCACTAGTTGCGCACAGCGCGCCCTGAGGCACCTGATCGAAACCACAAGTGGTCGCGCAAGATTCTGCCTTTGCTGCAACTACATCAGTAGGCTGTCCAGCGGATTGCGATCCAGATGCACTTCATTCAGCTTTTCTGGGATTGGAAAGGTGCAACTCGCTCACACTCTACGGGAAGTAGCGCGGAAAGAAAGACTACAAGTATCAGAGGAGGGGTTGGAGGCAGTGGTGAAGGTTTGCGCGGGAGATGCCAGGCAGGGCATCAACCTACTACAAAGCCTCAGCCTTGGTGAAGCCACAACTCTTGTTGTGCGCGACGACCAAGCCGTTTACGCTACGTGCGGCTTACCCTCCCCCTCGCAAACCAGTGAGATTTTCGACGTGCTACTCAACCAAAGCTTTTCCGCTGGGTACACAACGCTCACGTCCTTTGTTGAACTCCATCAGTTTTCTCTCCTGCAGATGATCCCCCCTCTGGTAGAGAGTATCATTTCGTGCAGTGACAAGGAGATGAGTGCGGACAGAGTGGGAGGAATATTGTCCACGCTTGCTGATGTCGAACGTTGCTTGTCAAATGGAGGGTCGGAGGGTATCGCCATGGGGGCGATGGTGGGTGCCTTTCACCGGTGATCAGTAAAAAAATGTTGGTTTGTATAAAAAATGGGGAACTGCTTGCCATGTCTGCGCGAACGTGAAGTGGATAGACGATCGGCTAGATCCAGCTACTTTGATGCAAAACTCAGAGAGAAAGAAGTGATGGCCTACACATGCAGCGAGTTTAAAAAAGAGAAGCGGCTCGGGGTCACTGTCTCCCGCTTTAAATCAGACGGTGGGGGAGAGTGACACGGGGCATTATAGTAGGCGACGGTGTGGTGTGTCAAAAGTCTTTGGACGGAAGCTACAACAAAAATTCAGGGACTGTGCTCTGCACGCGTTCATCGTTCCAGCGACAAACCTTCACAGAAAGTTGACCACGCTGCGAAACACGTCTTTTTCCACTTCCCCAAGCTTGGCCACCACCGAGACCAGGTCCAAGCCCTCCCTCCCACCACCTCCCCGCTGCTTGACCGAGCGCGCTCCCGCGTCTCCACCGGCTTCCCCCGCCTTCAGGGTGCGCGACCGAAGCATGACAAGCCAGCCCCGACGACGCCACCGCCTGTCGACCGGAGCCCGATCCAGCAGGAGGCGCACCTCCTCGTGCCCAGGCTTCAGATCGTCAATGCTATCAATGACTTGAGCGGGAGTCCTGCCACTGGAATCAAGGGCGTTTTCGTCCGCTCCCCACAGTAGCCATTGTTATCAACTTAAGCTTTCTAGAACAATTTTGCGAATCTTACCTACTCGAAACGATCTAGAAGAAAGACCACATTTTTCAATTTTATATGTAAATATTTGAGTGTATTGGTAGCCCACGCTGCTCACAATTCACCTTCACCATGGCAACCACCACTACAAAATCGAAGACGAAGAAGAAGAAAAAGAGAAAGAAGATGGCCGACATCACAACACGGCTACACGAGGTCTACAACATCAACACGCTACGAAGAAACGACGACGAGCTTTCGCAACCGAAGTTTCAACAAACGACTTGCCTGGAAACAGTGGGATATTCCGAGGTTTAAAAAACCCTAAAAGCTGGACCCTTGAGGAGACAACTTAGTTGTTTCTATCTGTTTTTGTTCACTACAACTTAATAGTTCCGGTTTTCTTAAGTTGATATTAGTGACAGTAGCAGGAGCCTCGTCATATCCACGCTGACCTTGCCGAGGTTGCTGGCCACTGCGATGTGTAAAGCTGTATCTCCGTCCTCCGTGGCGATGTTGACCTCGGCACCGGACGCCAGCAGAGTCTTCATCACCGTATCACCGCGGCCACCTTCGGCCGAATTGTGGAGAGCAGTGATACCATCCTCGTCTCGAGCATTGACGTCGACATCAGCGACCACCAAGGTCTTCACGGTAGACACCAAATCGCAGTAGGCCGCTATATGGAGCGGGGTGGTGCCTTCATTGTCGCTGGCATTTTTTTGCGCTCCAGCTTCCAACAGAACACCAACGATTTCGTCACGCCCTTCTTCCATGACCGAAACGTGAAGAGCAGTAAGTCCTTCCAACTCGCGGGCGTCCACGTCGGCGTGCGCAGCCAACAAGGCCTTCACGGCATACAGGTGGCCACGATATGCTGCTTCCATCAGAGCGGTTTCGCCGTCGGACTTGCGCACATCCGTGTTTGCTCCCTTTTTCAACAGAGCATCAATAATGCCATCGAATCCTCCGTAGGCAGCGACGTGGAGGGCAGTTCCGTCGGTGCTGATGGTGTCGACGTCTACACCAGCAGCCAACAAAGCCTCCACGACGGGCATGTGGTCACCGCGAGCTGCTAAAATCAGGGGGGTGTCTCCACTGGGGTCTTTGGAATTTTTGTCCACCTGCACCTTGTCCAAGAGCAGAATCACTAACTCCACGTCCCCCTGTTGGGCAGCGGTGCAGAGGGGTGGAGTTTTAAAACCTCCATCGACGAACGCGTTCAGAAGCTCTTTCAGCTCGTCAGTGCGGCACATGCTTGAAGTCTGGCAAGAGTGGACAAGGGTGGCGAGGGGACACGTGGAATCAAGCGATGTTGGCGCTGGTGGTTTTTGATCGTGGCCACGCGGCAGCACAGCAACAGCACAGCAACAGCACAGCAACAGCACAGCAACAGCACAGCAACAGCACAGCAACAGCACAACAGCAGCACAACAGCAGCACAGCAGCCGGAACAGATCTCTGGCAGTCATTGCACTCTACCTCATCAGCTCCACCGCGACAAAACCGCGCGTGACACTTTTCAAACACAGACTTCCCCCCGACAGCGCCCCATCCATCCGACACACACACACACACACACACATCTCGCTGCTGCTGGCGGAACTGTTGTGCACATCACTTACCGTTTGACCTCGAGCTAGCACATTCTCCGCTACACCTGCTCTTTCCGATTCCTGGAAGCTCTCGGTGACAGTGGTTCAACTCCGACGGGCTCCTGCAGAGAGTCTGGTCGTAGATTGTGACGTCATCGTATTGTCAAACAGAATAGAGTCAGTAAGCACTGAACCTTGGTTTTCATCTGTTCACAACCCTGTTCACAACCCCCGGGGGACAGCAAGCGAGTGCAGACAGATACCCTGATGCACGAAGAGACAGAGGTGAGAGAACAGCGGGAGTGCGTGAAAGAGAGAAAGACAGAGAGAGAGAGAGAGAGAGAGAGAGAGAGAGAGAGAGAGAGAGAGAGAGATAGCAGGCGCAGAAAGGGGAAGGGGTGATGGACGTAACACCACAAAGGCTTGGCTTGATGCTGGCTCTAAATCTCAGACACCGCCAGAATATAATATCTCTACCGACCTGCACCCATGCCAGATGCACTGCTTTTGCTACTGCTGCCGTTCATCGTCCGACTCTATATCGCGACCCGTGCTCATGGCGGTGACACAATTGTGACAAACAACTTGCAAACCAAGCAGACGCGAATGGTGTGTTGGAAATGACAGATGCTCCCACAAACTCTACACTTCACCACCAACACACTGCATACCAACTGCTGTGTCAACTGCTGTACACCCTCCACTATCACTCTGCACCGCTGCTGTCATGCACATCACGCCGACAACTTCGTTTGACCTATTACCGGTCACGGATTGTCTCGACCGTTGTAGTCAGACCATAGATGAATTTGTCAGACAAACAATTTTTTGGAAGGTCGTGCTCGCACCGACCCTCGGAATAATTTCTTGCAACATCTCGAAGACAATACCCCGTCCGCCATCCCCTCACACAGCCCTCTCCGATCACAACCTCCCTACCACCCCTCTTCCAGTCACACTTGCGAGCTCGGGTGTGTGTACTCCGCTCACGTGATCTGGCACCACATACCAGCATTTCTCTTTTGGCAAGGTGAGGCATCCCTCCTGTTGTGAAGTCTCCCTGTATACAAGGCGGATCTTGGCTCTTGCATTGCTGACCGATCTCGCGTTTGTCGCCAAGTGCGGCTGGAAAGTCGAAAGACCTGTACCGCCGTACACACCGACAAACGATAGACACGCCGCTGCACCAACGAGCTTTGTCTCAGATAAATGCACAGTGTTCAGAGATTGGTTTTCAGCTGCTCGAGTCATGCCCGCCTGCTGTAGGAGGGGTCCCGCTTGTCCGTCCGCGAGACCAAGTGTGAGAACATCAACAATTATAAACTAAAAACATGTGCCCGCCCGATCCCGCTCGCCCACCCTCCTGTCGTCCGCCAGCAAGCGAGAACAAGCCGGGGCAGTCAACTGGATCTTGGCAGGCGAGTGGTCCTTGAAAGTTGTCTTAGATGGGGGATCTTGGCTCTTGCACTGCTGACCGATCTCGCGTTTGTCGGCAAGTGCGGCTGGAAAGTCGAAAGACCTGTACCGCCGTACACACCGACAAACGATAGACACGCCGCTGCACCAACGAGCTTTGTCTCAGATAAATGCACAGTGTTCAGAGATTGGTTTTCAGCTGCTCGAGTCATGTCCGCCTGCTGTAGGAGGGGTCCCGCTTGTCCGTCCGCGAGACAAGTGTGAGAACATCAACAACTATAAACTAAAAACATGTGCCCGCCCCATCCCGCTCGCCCACCCTCCTGTCGTCCGCCAGCAAGCGAGAACAAGCCGGGGCAGTCAACTGGATCTTGGCAGGCGAGTGGTCCTTGAAAGTTGTCTTAGATGGGGGATCTTGGCTCTCGTACTGCTGACCGATCTCGCGTTTGTCGGCAAGTGCGGCTGGAAAGTCGAAAGACCTGTACCGCCGTACACACCGACAAACGATAGACACGCCGCTGCACCAACGAGCTTTGTCTCAGATAAATGCACAGTGTTCAGAGATTGGTTTTCAGCTGCTCGAGTCATGTCCGCCTGCTGTAGGAGGGGTCCCGCATGTCCACCGTAATAAACGAAATTCGCAATCACGGAGAGCGCTAAGCCCCACCCCGCCCTCCCCTGCTGTCTCCCATCCCCGAAAACGAAAGCACGCGCTCCACGCCACTCGAGACCGGCGCTGGCACATGTGGTCGAGGAGAGGTCCACGGGATCGCGTGTCGCGAGCTTTGCGAGCACATACGATCTGGACGACATTCCAGACGATACGTTTTTCGTACGAATCGTCCGCTTGCATCGCACAAAATAAAATATTGCTTGAAGGAATAAACATGACTCCTCCTTTGGGTACAGTTTTGTTTCTTACATGTGGTTTCTCTGCCTACTCCGGTGCACAGGCAAATACACCCATCCCCAAACCTATATGCGATTCCTCCAAAGAGATTTCAGTCCGCTATAGCTCTACATCTAAACGCATCTACCTAGAATCCATCGACGGGTCTCGTGGCGGGTGCGCTAGCCCTACCATGGTACACGAGGCCTTGGGCGACGCGAGCCCCCTATTTCCACTTGAAACACCCGGGGAATGGATGCTCTCAGAATCTCTGCATGTTTTGGATGGAATTACATTGAATTTGTACGGAACCGATGTGGGTGGTGATGTAGACTACATCAAGCTCAGAAGCGACTCTGAAATGACGGTAAGCATTCGCGCTCACGGAGGATCGCTGGATTTGCTCAACACAAAGGTAACCTCGTGGGACTCCTCCAAAGGTGACGTAGACACTGATTGGAGCGATGGTCGTTCATTCCTCAGCGCCATATCTGAAGTTGTGCTCGACACCAGCGAGACGTGTGTAGGTTCCGCCAAAAACGACATGGGAGAAGCACGCATGGATATTGAAAACTGCGAAATCGCTTTCCTGGGGTACGAGGAAGCAGAAAGCTGGGGAATTAGCTGGAAATTACGCGGTGTTTGCAACGATAAATCAAACCTGGACATGTACGAGGGAGTCGGGGTGTACGGCAACCTACTCGGAAGCGAAGTCCACGATCTTTACTACGGGCACTATGGGTACAGACAATCATTCGCACTCCTGAGCAGAAACAGCGTTTACAACAACGAGGTGTATGGATTTGACCCACATGACGATTCTGTCAACATTACTATTTCGCACAATGACGTGTACTTTAATTTCAATCACGGCGTGATATGGTCCAAGTATTGCCACAATGCAGTAGTCACCAACAACCACGTGCACGACAATGGTGGCGTGGGAATCTTTCCGCACTTCGTATCCGACAACGCATACATCGCACACAACACGATAGAAAAGAACGGCGACAGTGGCATTGCCTTTCTGGAATCTAGCGGAGGTCTCGTGTACAACAACACCGTGCGTGAAAACGTCCACGGAATTCGGTTCTCAGTCGGCTCACGCCAAAATGTGGTAGCCGAGAATACTTTCGAGGCAAACTCTGGATATGACCTATATCAATACGCGGGTAGCGATGAGGTGGTGGAGGTAGACAGTGGAAACCCCACTGGCAATGTGATATACGCGAACCTGTTTTCTGGGAACGTCGGGGGAGCGCGACTGGACGATTCCATAGACACCCAGCTCATCATAAACTCGGTCGAAGACTGGGCCAGTATCGAAATGGTGGATTCGATGAACACTCTGGTTCAGGGCAACAGTTTTCCAGACGACATGATGTACACTTCCAGCGGATCGTGTATCAATTCTGCTTCAGATGTGTCCTTCGGCGAAGTTTGCACCGACGCCGCAATCGACCCCGTCGACCGGAGCGACCACCACACCTACCACCCAACAAATGATCCATCGGATACGGTCGCCACCGAATCTCCGCCTGATCCACAAACGTATGCACCTACTGTGTCTCCACATGCATCCGCGTTTACTACAAGACCCACCTCTCAACCATCTGCTCATACACTTACCGCATCTCCCACCATCATTATCAAAAATGGTACGGAGAGCAGCTACAGGAGTAGGGGTGCCAACGAGGGGGATGGTGATGACTATGATGAGTTTGAAACGGAATCGCCGACACCCATGACTGCTCGTGGGATCGAAGTTGACGATGATCGCGACGCCCAAGGTTTGACCAGTGGCACATCATCATCATTATCATCGCGTAGCAAGTCGAACGGGGCAGTCGGATCAATTGGCTTCATCGCGGTTATTGGCGTTCTGGTATTGTAATGATTACTCTGGCGACCGCTGCCAAGATATCAGGATCCGGCTCTTTCGACTTCCACCGGAATTTAAAGTTACAAACCAAATTAGTTGCAGCAAACCTCTTCACCCATTTGCACCCCTCACTCTCACAAACACCATCCCGAAGACCGGATCGCTGCTGGGTATCGCGACAGGCATCACACACACCAGGTGATGCATCCTGGCTCGTCGAGATTGTTGATGCACGAAGTAGTTGCAAGAGTAGCTTTGTGTATTAGCACAACCGATGATGCTTGGTCTTGTGAAGTAGTACGATCGCCGATGTTGTTCACCAGCGCAATGAAACTCCATACATGTACACACCGGTTTGCTTACGCCTTGGCGCGACAGAACATTTCAAGCATGGCTCTTCCCAACGGGTTCACCGGAAACGGGGTGTCAACCCCGGTTGCAGAACAACGGGACAGCCGCTTCGTCGTGGGAGTACTGAAGAGCCTTTGCTCTCAGCTAGATGACCACCAGCGCGTCGTTGATCAGTTGGACACTTTACAGAACTACTGGAATAAACAGCAGAGATGGAACAAGTATGGCCAGAAGAGCAAGCGTCTCAGGCAGAAGATTCTTCATCTACAGATGGAGCACAAAAAGCAAGATGAAGAGCGGAGGATCCAAAAACTGATGATGCAGCACCAGCACGAGCTGCGCGATAAGAAGTGTCGGGACGAGCAGTCGGCGGAGATACAGAAGGCGCA